AAATAAACTCCTTTAAAAATAAGTTATTCCATTTTAGTATTCTGTTATAAACAACAGAAAATGAACTAAGACAATATCATTAAATAAAAACAAACATAAAACAAGATTATGCATTGATTGGTTGATGAAGACATTGGGACCAGAGGCTTACAGGAACCTAACCCTGTGTGGTCCCTACGTTCAGTGTTCTGAACTAAACAATACTGAACAATGATTCAGTACTCACTGAGTCAGTATTCATGGTGACTTTCTAGTTACCATGAATAATGAGAATCAACCATGCCTCTTTTTCAAGGGCTCTGTGAGGATTCAATGTGAGTGGTGGTGAGGATTTAATATGAGGATTCAGATTTTCTTTTTCTCTCACACTCCCGTGAGTCAGACACATCCATAATTATGAGAGCCTTTTGTAATGTGACTTAAGACTGTGAAGAATATAGACACTCTCTTTTAGTGTTAACACAGAGTACTGACAACTAAAATATAAAAAGTCTGATTGCCTGCAGATGTGTCAACCTGAGGCCAGACTGCCACAAAGACTTACTGATACTATTCTCTGCCATCTTCCTTCTAGCAGTGGAACCAGAAAGAATGCCTGGCTCCTAGGCTGGTGGCGGACAGCAGAGGAGGTGAGTGAAGAGCTCAGGAGTGAAGAGATCAAATGAATGGACACGGCTCCAATGCGGACAGCACCCTGGGAGATACTCTTAGCCAGCCATGGACATGACCATGTAATGTGGTCACACTGTCCAAGGTAAAAGGTCCCATGGACAGAACTCGAGATAAGTTTAAAGGACTAGAGAAGCTACTTCCAAGTTTCTGAACCTATGCACTGATTTCTTATTTCTATGAACTCTGTGAGAGTTAGAATATGATGCTTGAACTTAAGTAAAAGTCCTAAATTAGTATTTCTCCGAATTTCATGGGTATGGTTTATAGGCTAAGAGCAAAATCATTTTAAAATGGACTTATTCCCCCACAGTAAGTGTCTTAATACTGGAGTTACATATATAGGACACAGAATAGTATACCTGGCATATAGTAAGTTTTCAGAACATGAAAAAATATTGAGGAAGGTGAAGCAAGATGGACAAACAGAAGCCTTCATTGATTGTCCTCCCTGCAGGAATACCAAACTGAACAATTTTCCACATAAAAAAGCACCTTCGTAAGAACCAGGTATCATGCAAGCAATCACAGTACTTGGTTTTAACTTCATATCACCGAAAGAGTTACTGAAGAGGGTAGGAAAGAGTCTCGAATTGCTGACACCATGCCTCCCTCATCTTAGCTCCTGGATAACATTTCTAGACACAGGTTGGGTCAGAAGGGAACCCAGTGTCTTGAAGGGAAGACTCAGTCCTGGCAGGATTTATCACCTGTAGACTAAAGAGTCTTTGGGCCCCAAATAATTAGCAGCATTAACCAGGTGGTACACACTATGGGCCTTGGGTGAGACTCTGAGAGGTACTGGCTTCAGATGTGAGCCAACATATTTACAGCTGTGGAGGCAGCAAGGATAGACTCCTTCTGCCTGAGAAAAGAAGAGGGAAGAATAAAGGGGACTTTGTCTTGAAGCTTAGGTACCAACTTGGCCGCATTGAACAACAGCACCAACCTGGCTCTCAGGGTCCCCAGTTCCAGCCCTTGGCTTTTGGGTGGCATCTCTGCACATACTATGGGCCAGAGGAGAGCCCACTGTCCAGAACGGTAAGTCCCACACCTGGCAGCATCCACCACAAGCTGACTGAAGAGCTCTTGGGCCTTACGTGAACATCAGCGACACCCTGGAAGTACTTCCTGTGGGCCTGTGGTGGTGGTGGACATGGGGAGAAACTCCTCCACGTGGGGAAAGGGGAGGGAAGAATTGGAAGGACTGTGTCTTGTGGTTTTTTTTTTTTTTTTTTTTTTTTACCAGCTCAGCTACAGTAGAATACAGGTAGAGTTCTAAGATTTCTGACTCTGGGCCCTGGCTCCTGGACAACATCTCTGGAACTGCCCAGGGCCCAGGGGAACTCACTGCTTTAAGGGGTGAATACAACCCTGGCTGGCTTTGCCATCTGCTGCTGCAGAGACCTAGGGCCTTGAGCAAACGTAAGATAGATAGGCAGTGGTTACAGGGGCGTTCTGTGAGGCCTCGTGCTTGCCAGCTTCAGGTCTGAGTCAGCACAGTCCCAGTAGTGGTGGCCACAGGTGTCCTTGTGTCAGCCCTCTCCCAGCTCCAGGCAGCTCTGCACAGAGAGCAACTCTACTTGCTTGGGAGAAAGTAAGGGAAGAGAAGTCTCTGCCTGGTAATCCAGAGAATTCTTGTGGGTCTTATCAAAGACCATGAAGACAGTACCTCTAGTCTTTAAGAACCATAGTATTAATGGGCTTGGAGTAACCTCTAATGGAGATACAGCTGCAGAAACCAAAACCTTAGGTCACAACACCCAAGTCTCTTTGAATACCTGGAATGCTTTCATAAGGAGGACGAAAACAAACAAGCCAGACTGCAAAGACTATAATAAACACCTAACTCTTCAATGACCAGACACCAGTGAACATCCACAAGCATTTAGCCTATCCAGGAAAACATGACCTCACCAAACAAACTAAATAAGGCGTCAGGGGCCAAGCTTGAAGAGAAAGAGACATGTGACTTTTCAGACAGAAAATTCAAAATAGCTGTTTTAATGAAACAAAAAATTCCAGATAACACACAGAAGGAATTCAGAATCCTGTCAGACAAATTTAACAAGGAGATTGAAATAACTAAAAAGAATCAAAGCCAGCATGCCGGCTCACATCTGTAATCCCAGCACTTGGGGAGGCCAAGACAAGTGGATCTCACTTAAGCTCAGGGGCTCAAGACCAGCCTGGGCAGCATGGTGAAACTCCATCTTCACAAAAAATATATAAATTAGCTGGGCATGGTGGTGCATGCCTGTAGACCAGCTACTCGGGAGGCTGAGGTGAAAGGATTGCTTGAGCCCAGGAGATCAAAGCTATAGTGAGACATGATCATGCCACTGCACTCGAGTGAGACCTTGTCACAAAAACAAAAAAGGATCAAGCAGAAGATATGGGGTTTAAAAAATGCAGTGGACATACTGAAGAATGCATCAGAGTCTCTAAATAGCAGAATCAGTCAAGCAGAGGAAATAATTAGTGAGCTTGAAGACAGGCTATTTGAAAATATATAATCAGAGGAGACAAAAGAAAAAAGAATAGAAAGAATGAAGCATGCCTACAAGAACTAAA